TTTGCCTTGTTTGTTGTCAAAACCCAGGGCTTTTTTTGTAGCAGGAACCCTTTGTTAGACCACACACCCCAAATGTAGCCAATCCCAATGAGTTTCTGCTGTTGGGTGTGCCCTATTATGCTAATGAGTTCCTGCTGGGCGTGGCCAACTCAGGAGCTAGCCGGAACTCCGTTCCTGTGCGTTCCTGCCCAAAAATAGCCCTGGTCAAGAGTTCCTGCAGTTTCTGAGGCAGCTCTGCAAACTGGCCAGGATCCTGCAAGGAAACTCTCTCAGTGCCCTGCTGCAATTCTTCGCTGGCCTTGCGTGCAGCCAGCCTGGCTCTTTGCCTCTTCTGAGCCACTTTGTCCCAGGCCTTGAGCCGCCACCTTGCCCTTTGTTATGTCTTCGGATGCTGCCTGACGCCAGCCAGAGGCAGCTAGAGCTTCAGCCCAGAAGACAATAGGGACTAGGCTCCTGAACTACAAGTAAGGAACCAATAGGGACATTGGCGGGAAGTTCAAACCCGCCAATGGGACCTAGGGGTGTCCCTCCATAATTGTATAAAGTTGGCCATCCGGCCGTTAGTTTTTGTTCCATGTGTTAAGTACCAATAAACGCATCTTATCGGATGTCATGCTCCACGTCCTGATGTATCAAACCCAGTACTTTTCACCCTTGGTCCCGGAGAAGATCCTGTGCGGCTACAGGGCCAGCCTTTTCTCCTGCATGGGAGAGGCCTTGTGACTATTCCAGGGACTATTGGTCAGTGTTCCCTCTAAGTTGAGTTAGTGTGAGCTAGCTTACAGTTTGTTAGCCTCTGGCTCACACATTTTTGTCTTAGCTCAGGAAGGAGGGCTCCAGAGCAAACTAATTTATGCAGCAGCCAAATTCCTTGCACACAATTTCAATGCTAGTAGCTCACAAGTAGCATTTTTGCTCACAAGACCCACAATTTAGAGGGAACATTGCTGGTGGTGAGGCTCTGGTGAGGTGGCCTTGGGTGCTGAGGAGGCATCATCCACAGGTGACTCTGCAGTGCTGGGCCCTTCCTGGTCCCCCTGGGCCTCCTCGGTCTCCTGACCTTGGCTCCTCCCCTGCAGCATCGGAGTCAGAATCACTGAGTGGGCTGGAGGGGGTCATGACAGAGCAGCCTCAGCCACCCCCTTAGTGGCTGGAGGGGGGCATTGGGGGTGGGAAATGAGGAGTGGCACTGCTTGACATGGGTAATGGAGGAAGCTAAGACAAACAAAGCCAGAAAGAAGTAGTGCTGGACAAGTCTGGAACCAGGGTGGAGCTTCTCGAATGCTGCCTTAGTTCCCTGCGACATGTACTTAATAGTTGATGGAATCATCTGAGGGCACAGATCATTTATTAAAACCTAGTTTTACTCCAATAGTCCTGTTCCTCTGTCTTCCTGGAGGGGGGAGGAATGGTTGTACAGTAACCACTTTCAATTAAGGATATCAGTCAACACTGATAGCGTTGAAGGCACCTCAGGTCTATAATCCAGACCTATATTATTGCAATTCCCATGGTGCAACAGGTGAGGTGAGAGAGAAGAAGTTGCCTCTGGGGCTCCACAATACTTTGCAGATATGATGAGGCTGAAACACCCACCTAGCAGATGACTGATCAGTCCCTCAGGCATGAAGCTACTCCTTGCAAAGCTCAGCTGCTCTGAACCAAACACAGTTTGTGTCTCGGTTCCTAATTTGACTGAATCATGGTGCATACCGAAAGCTACTACCACTGCCATGCTCTGTGCCACAGTAATAAGCAGCCTCATCTTCTGGCAAAGATCCCGAAATGGTTAAATAAGCTGTGTTTGTAGACGTATCTTTGGACCCAGAGAAACGAGAGGGGACTCCAGAGCCTTGGTGCTTGTTAGAATCTGAATAGTAACGTAAGAGATATCTTGGGGGATTCCCCAGCTTCTGCTGGTACCAGTACGTATGAAGGCCACCAATGCTGATCCCGCTGCCTATGACACAGGAGATCTTCGCTGTGTTCCCTGGTGACACCAATGCTGAGGATGGCTGAGTCAGCACAGGCTGAGACTCTGAACCTGGAAAAAAGGATAATGGAGAAACCGTCTCACACCATTTGCTCCTCACCTTCACTCGTAGCAATAACTGCAATGCGTATTTTACCTGCTCTCACCTGTACACCACATGACTAGAAAGGTGAAAATGGGAGGCCAGAACATGATAGCCATATCTGCGGAACAAAACTGGAAACAAAAGACCCAACAAGGTCGTCCATTTGTGGTCCTTTATATCCACACTGTGTAGGGAGGTGGAGCATTGTCATGCTCAGCTTAAGCCTGATTGGTCCTTTAGATCAGAGAGATGCTTGAAAACAAGATGTGCCATCCTTTTCAAGTGATGCTTCAGTCTGGCCCCTTGAGGCTGCAATTTCATCTGCCTTTGAGCTGCAACAAGTAGTAAGCTGCTTATGCTTGGGTTTGAAATTTTGCTTCAGTTCTTGAGGCTGAGGGTGAGATACAATGGGACCAGCAATAGAGCATTACAGTCTGGAACTGAGTATCCCAGAATTCCTAATTATCAATGCTAAACAAAATGGGAGATTAACCTCACTGCATGAGACAGTCCTAACTCTAACCCTACAAACCGATCATGAAGTTCTGCCTGAGAGAATGTGTTAAAACAAGCCAACAAGAAAAGCCTTCGATAGGTGGGAACTCCAAAATAGAACATTGTTTTCTAAGCACAACTTTTAATGAGTTCTGTAGGGGATCCAAATAGCCTTTTTCCCAAAGGAACACAATTTTTGCAGAGGAACATTTCACAGATGTCCCTGCTTGGTGGGTACAGCCAACCATGTTGTGTGAGTGTTTCATTCCCCCCCCCCCCCAAAAAAAAAGGTATTAAGAGGATCTCACCTTGAAGAACAGTTGAATGCTGTGGGCTGTCTCATCTTACTCAACTCTGGTTGGCAATTCTGTCAGTGTTTTCTCGATCAAGGGTGCCCTCTAGAGGTCTTAATGGCATCTTCTTTGCTTCTTTATCTTATTTATTTATTTAGCCCGCCTTTCTTGGATTCTATGATTTTCTTGGATTCTGTGATTGGATTCTATGACATTTCTCCTCTATAGGATATTTTCCACATTTGTCATTCTGATTTTTTTTTTAAATGAAGTTAGAGGATTTATAAGCAGTGGCCTGTGAGAAGCTCCTGGAAAAATTCTCCCACTGGTTCCTACTTTCTCCCCTGGCTTCTGACCCACCCACCCCCGCCACCTCTGTTTACCCTTTTCTCTCCCCCTTCCCCTCCTGTTTGCCCTTCTTTTCTCAGTCCAACTCCCCCCACCCCGTCCTTGCTACTCTGCCTGCTCACGTCACTAGCCCCTCTCCACACTGCACTGCTGGCTCACCCCCCCTCACCTTCTACTCGCCCACCCACCCTTCTTCTCACCACACATCAGCAAGATAGGGAATCTTTTAGGCCCAAGAACCTACAGGACCATGGTAGGGGGCAACGTTGGAGGGGAGTTATTGGCCCCTGTGCTCTCTTTGCTGGTCCTCCAGGGTGACTGGTTATAAATAACTGGATAAAACAGGATGCTGGTTAGATCCATCAAAACACCTCTTGTGCCAAAAACTCCATGGACTCTGTAAGGCCTTCTATGAAACTTTTGGACCATTAGGACAGAGGAAACATCCATCTTCCTTGCTCTCCACACCACAGCATGGCAGGAAGCTGCCATCTTCCTCCTTGTTGCCCCCCCCCATCAGAGAGAGGTGAGAGAGCAAGGGAAGGAGGAAGAAGAGGGGCAAGGGAAGGTGTCAGAGGGCGGGCTTAGGCTGCTCTGTCCCCCAATGGAGGGAGGAAGGAGCAGACTCCCCCCCAGCCCCCCCCAACTGGGGCTGGAAGCTCCACCTGGCCCTGATGCTCGACATGTCAGAGCCTGATAAAATTGGGGGGGGGGCTGGATGTAGGCAAATGGGTAGGCCAGAAAGTGGGTGGGGGTGACAGGGGTGATTGCCACCCCTCCTCCTCTGGTGACCTAGGCAGTTGCCTGGAAAGGCCCAGTAGAAGGGTCAGCCCTGCCTGTAGTAATGGGGGTGGGTGGGCTCGTATAAAGCTCATATCAGTTAATTAGTGAAATCCTGCATGCCTTGTATGCCATCTTTATTTTGGGGGACAGGGAGAAAACAAGTCCATACATTTTTGTTTGGTGGGGGAAAAAATCCTTTTTACTGGAGTGTTTCCCCATCTATACTGTGTCTCAGGATGTTGACAGGAGGATCTCAAAAATGGCCAGATGTGGCAGAACTCAAGAAGCTAAGCTGTGGTCAGACGACAGGCTTGTTGTGTTCTGGCCCCACCTCTAATTCAACCAGGTTTTGCTGTAGTGGAGAGTTTTGATCAGACATCTCACCCTGAACCTGCCTCACTGCACACTAACTCCATGATTGACCATTCAGATTATTTCTTTGCGGTAACCATGGAGTGGGCGGTCGGGCAGCATCCTTTTTAAAAAAATGTCTGTTGCGCATGCACAGAAGTGTGCATTTGATGCACCAGTCCATTGTAACAGCACCGCGATCCCTCTACCAAGTACTGTGGCCCCTCTCAGCCTCCTTTGCTTCACCTCTCTTCATGGGAATACATGGTGGGGAAGGAATGCATGGAGATTTACATGAGAGTAGTCCCATTGACTTCAGTATATTCACTCTTGTGTCAGTCATGGGATGCTCTTAAACAACAACTCTGAAGCAGGAACAGGAGAGGAGGTTTTTTTGGGGGGGGATTTGTCACGCAAAAACAAGTCCCCTGGGGGCTGCCAATCCAGATTGACTACTTGGCTGCTTGAACATACAAGTAGTGATTGACAATGCCAGGGGGCATTATGCACTTATGTGCATGTTGCTACCTGATCAGAGAAAGGGGGAGTGGGCAGAAACAGATGGGAAGGTTCACACTTCTCAACTGGCTTGAGTTCACAACAGGAGAGTTCAGACATCTGGAAATGTGGGGTGGAAGTGCTGACACACGTAAAGACTGGCCTTCCCCTGGTGCCTAATAACTCTGATTCCAAGTTGGGTCAGAAGACTGGATGCCAATGACTGGGGAACAGGAGGCAGATGTCGCCGTCTGATCATGCACTTTAAATCTGGAAGGGAACAGCGATGACATCGGATCAAACTGCTCGTCTGACCACAGTCATAGCGTATAGCACTTCATTTGAGTTCTTTATTGCTGGTCGTGGGATTTCAGGACACATTTGCTTACACCTCACAGCAGGGCACAGATGGAGAAATGGAGGAGACATTTCCTCTCCTCCACCTTTTACTCACTGAGCAATTTTATGTTGTGTGGTTGTACATTCTCATTTGTTACATGCTTTATAGTAGGAGTGTTAGATAACCAGAGGATATGGTATGGGTGAAAAGCAGCAAAGAGGCATACCAACAAAGTGAGTATAATCTGGGTGTGCAGATTGGCAGCTCTGGGTCTGCTTAGTCACGGGCTCCCGGGTCTCTGCGGGGACTGCATACAAAGAAGCCAGCGACAGCCTTTCAGAGCAGGAGGTTTTTGTCTCACTTCCCCCTCTGTTTGTATCACTGTGAGCAGCGCTGCTGTCCCACACCTGGCAGTAATAATCGGCCTCATCCTCTGCTTTGGCCCTGGCGATGCTCAAAGTGGCTGTGTTGCCAGAGTTGGAGCCAGAGAATCGGTCTGAGATCCCTTCTGGCCTCTTGCTATCTTCATATATAATGAGGAGTGGGGCCATGCCAGGTTTCTGCTGGTACCAGTGCACAAACCTGCCCCCAATGCTGTTCCCTGAACAAGTGATTTGGGCATTTTGTTGCAGAGACACAGACATTGATGGTAGCTGAGTCAGCACATACTGAGCAAAAGAACCTGGAAAAAGGAGAAAGTGTCGCTGTTTAAATGATACTAGTTTTGTTCTTTACAAGTTCTGAAGAAACAATGCAAAAAAATAGAGTTTCCTTTGTATTACCTGAGCAATATGCGAGGACCATGTAGAGTAGTAAAGCGCAGAGCATGATGGGATATGCAGCTGAACTTTGTCTCGTGAGGCAGAAAAGTTTCTGGTTCAAGGTCGTCTGTTCTCTTGTTGTCATTATGGACCTTATTTAGGGGCCACTCCATGCAAATCATTTCCCTTCAAGTAGACTCACCCTCCCCACCCACATATTAGGTAACATAGATGAACAGCCGAGGTGTCAGTCTGTAGTCCTTTTAGACCCTTTATCATCAGAGTTTAAAAAGAAGTTTGGAAGATATTGGATTGGAACTTTCTTTACTTCTTCCCCAAAATAAAGTTTTGAATGGGGGGGGGGATATGATGCACACCAAACATGTAGGGTCACATCCTGGTAATGTCTGTTTGGTTACATACATCTGCCCAATTGCACTGTTCTGAATGCGTAGGGAAGTCACTTGTTCATCCAGGTACTGAAAAGCTGGAATAGATCCCCGTCTTCACCACTCTGATGGGTGGTAACATTTATTAGGTTACTAACTCATGGGGCAGTCCCTTTCCCGCTTACTTGGAAACTTTACATTCTGACTATCTTTTCCAGAGTGCATTGTCCCTGGATTTTCTTATTGTGAAGTGGGAATTTTCATACCTCCCTTCATGATAGGAAAATGAGAAAAAAAAAGATACATCAGTTAAGCTGGACTTTTTTGCAGTTTGTGCAGAGTGAAGCTTGGTCTTTTGGTTGACCCTCAGCCAAACCTAACCTGAAGTTGCTCTTATCTGATGCATTGAAATCTTCTCCTCGGACTTGTGTCATTTATGTATTCAAAACAATCATGGGAGAAGTATCACAGGACACTTACTGATTGTTTGATTTCCCAAATCCTGAGGCAGTTCTTTGTATTAGCTGGCTTTGTGTTTGAAGTCTTTCATGGGATGGATCCAAGCAGCTTTTCTGTCAGTGCAAGAGGGCCCAGCACGTATGTTCTGGATCTGCTAGCATTGGACTAAGTAGGAAATCTTTTTATTGGGGGGGGGGGATGCTTCACACTGTGCCTAAAATGTGATGTTACAAATAGGACACTTGATAACTGGAGGGGGAGAGAGAGGAAAACTGCAGAGTGGGATAACTGGGAGAAACATTGAGGTTTCTGAGGATGAACCCCCCAAAGTGGCATGGTGATGGAGGGGTGCTCATAGTGTGGGTCAGCAAAGTGCGATGGAGTGGGTGGGAGATTGCAGAAGGGATGAGACTTGGCCTTCCTTGGCACTGCCAATGTACAGGCGAGGACGAATAGGACTACAGAGAAAGCTGACCATGTTTGCAGCCAGTGTGAAGTTGATGCAAATGCGGCATTCGGTTGCGATCGACACTTAGCAGTTGGCTGAATAGTATGATGAGACAGAAAAGCAATTTACACCAATTTAATAAAACCCAGAAAAACCCAAATACTGGTCATCTTGTGTCTTCACCGAGAGAGGGGGTAGTTAGTAGTACCATAATCATTTTTCATGAATGATGTTAGGGTGTTTTTGTTGTTGGGGTTTTTTTGTGTGTGTTTTTAAACAAAGAGGAAGACAGTATTGAAAGTGCTTCAGACCTGGAAGGCAGGCCAATATTGTTAGACCCACTTCCACATGGGGAGCCAAGGCTGAAAAGGGCTCACTTGCCCAGAGGGGCACCTAAAATGTTTGCAACAAAGAGGGCCATTCTTTTAACACTTAAGCTATTTTAACCCATTCTCATTTTAGGTATGTGATTTTAGGTTTTAGTTCTTTATTTTTTTACTCTTTTCCTGATCTATTTGAATGTTTTGCAACTTTGTTATGGCCTATGGCTGATATACAATAAATCCTTTGGAACGAATTCCCTAGCAGCAAAGATGACAGTAAAGCATCAACCTCAGCCCACGGAGCTATATCTTGCTAACTGTGGCTGTTCCAGGAAAAGCACAAGGAGAAGATTTTGTCTTGGTTCCCCGTCTGACTGCATCACTGTGCTCACCGCCAGCTGCTACCAATGCTGTACTCTCGAGCACAGTAATAATCAGCCTCGTCTTCTGCCAGGGCCCCTGTGATGGTTAAATAGCAGGTGTTTCCCGATGTGTCTTTGGAAGCAGAGAAACGGGAGGGGACTCCAGAGCCCCGGCCCTTGCTGGAATCTGAATAATAATGTAAGAGGCATCTTGGGTTACTCCCAGGCTTCAGCTGATACCAGTACACATAGTAGCCACTGACCCCAGTGCAGGGGAGTTTCACAGTGCTCCCCGGTGAGACGGATGCTGATGGTGGCTGAGACACCACTGGCTGAGAGTACGACCCTGCAGGAAAAATAATAATAATGCAGAATCTGTCAGGCTCACTTTGATCAGCATCTTCACTCACCTTAGCCGTAACTTTGACCTGCTCTCACCTGTGCACCAGGCCACTAAAAGGCTCATCATGGAAGCCCAACACATGGCTAGAGAGATCTGGTATCCCAACAAGGGAAGGAAACAAAAGACCCTAAACTGGAACCTGGCCCAGAAATGGCCCATTATATTCCTCCAGTTGGGGGAGGTGGAGCATCTTCATCTCGATCAGCTCAAATCTGATTGGCCCTTATGATCACAGGGGTACTTAAAAGCAGGATGTGCCACACTTGCTAAGCAGTTCTTCAATCTAGATTCCTACAGCTGCTATTTTAGCTGCTTTTCAGCTGCAATTGACCTTTTCTTTAGTAAAACCTTCCCCTTCAATTTGTGTGATTTATACATTCAAACCAATCAAGGGAGAAGTATCATCGGATGCTTACTGATTGTTTGAGTCCCCAAATCCTGAGGCAGTTCTTTGTATTAGCTAGTTTTGTGTTTGAAGTCTATCACAGGATGGATGCAAACAGCTCTTCTGCCCGTGAAAACGGGCTCAGCACATCCGTTCTGGATCTGCTTGCTTTTGGCTGAGAAGGAAATCTTGGGGGGGGGGGCTGCTTCACACATCATAACACACAGTGTAGTGTTACAGATAGGTCTGATCACTTGATAATGGTGGGAAGGGGCAGGTATACTGCAGATCAGGGGTCTTTTGGGGTCGGAGCACGCCGGAGCACTGCTCTGGCAGCCCGGTTTCCTGATGTCTCCACTGGAGTGCTGCGGCCCCAGGGAGGCCTGAGGAAGCCTATTGTCGGCCTCCCGGGGCCCTCTTTCCTTCTCTCTTTTTATCCCCTCTTTCCTTCCTTCTTTCCTTCTCTTTCTTTCCCTCTTTCCTTCCTTCTTTTCTTCTCTCTACTCTCGCTCTCTTTCCTTCCCTCTTTCCTTTTTCTGCGGCCCAACTCTAGTGAGAAGGGGTTTAAACCCCTTCTCTCTTTGCTTCCCCCCCTTGCAGGCCAGCTGGAGAAGGGAAGGGGAGGCTTTTGAAGATGCCTCCCCCCCCCTTTCGCTTCCCTTTCTGATATCACTTCTGGTGATGTCAGGGGCCGTGGCATATGCTAATGAGCTATTATGCTAATAGCCCAGTAGCTCATTAGCATACCTTATGCTAATGAGCTCCTGCAGCTCTTTTTCTACGAAAAGACCCCTGCTGCAGATGGAGATAATTGGGAGGAACATTTAGGTAGCTGCTGATGCTGAACCCACTGGCCATGACACAGGTGAGTTTGGCTGTGTTCCCTGTTGGCACAGATGCTGAGGGTGGCTGAGACAGAGTAAACTGAGAGTTGGAACCTGGAAAAGAGAATATCACAGAAACCTGTCTCCCACTGTTTGCTTATCACATGTACTCCCCTTGTCAATAACTGCAGTGTCAATTTCACCTGTTCTCACCTGTGTACCACAGCACTAGAAGGCTGAAACGGGTCCATTTGTGGGCCTTTATGTGTCCCCTATGGGGGGAGGTGGAACATTGTCATGTGATCAGCTCAGATTTGGTAGGTCCTTTTGATCAGAAGCATGGTTGAAAACTGGATGTGCTGTCCTTTGCAAGTGATGCTTCACCCTGGCTCCTTAAAGGCAGATCTTTCATCTGTGTTTGAGATGAGGCTAGTAATAGGTTGCTTAGGACTGGGTTTGGTACTTTATTTATTTATTTATTTTTATTTTATTAGTTTGATTTATATTCCGCCCTCCCAAAGGCTCGGGGAGGCTCACATGCGGCAAAGCCGAGTGTAAAATACAATACAGTATATAATAAATAAAACATTTAACATCACAATAAAACCTTCCAATAATACGGTGCTATACCTATATTAATCATCCAAGATGGGGTTTCAGCTCCACAGAGTATATTTCAGTTCTAGATTCATGAGGGGTGAGATACAATAGGAACCAGAAATATATCATCATAGTCTAGAACATAATATCACAGAATAGGAAATAATTAAACTGCATTTTCCTAGTGATCACTGCGTAAAAGAACTGGAGGTTGACCCAAGGTTCTCGACTCCCTCTTTGCTTAGAGGGGATCCTGCATACTTACTGTGAAGTTCTGTCAAAGCGAGCATATTAAAACAAGCCAACAATAAAATCTTTGATAGATGGGAATGCCCAAACTCTTCTTCTTCATCATCTTTTTTTTTTTTATGTTTTATAAGGGAGCCAAATGGCTTTTTCAAAAGAACACTATTTTTGCAAGATAATAACATTTTACAAATGTCTCTGTTTGGTGAATACAGCAAAACATTGCAGCCAGGCAGATCTATACTCTCCCCAAAAAAGATTTGTCAGAAGATCTCAACTTAACATCTGCTGAATGGGGACTTCTGATCAAGGTGCTGCTACATGACAATTATGTGGTTCTCAGTGTTTTCTAGATCAAGGGTGCCCTCTAGTGGTTTTCATTGCAGGTTCTACTATTTTAGACAGGTTTCAGCTCCACAGAGCATCTCTATATCTAATAGCCAAGTCGCCCCCGTGCGTGCGGATACCTAAATCCGCGCACTGGGGGCACTTGGGGGGGAGGGAGATTTTTGTGCACACTTGGGGCAGTCCCCAGGTGTGCACAAAAATCTGAAACCTGTAAAATAAAATCAGGGGGATACTTAAATCCCCCCAAAAGTGACAGAGCATCCCCTGCGCATGCAAGTGG